TAACCACTGTGCTATGGGCACTGAGCCAGGGTCTTACTCTTGTTTAGGCTGATCTAGGAATTCCTGAGCTCTTCTGGCCTTGGCCTCCCAGAGTGCTAGGATTACAAGTGTGAGCCATCATGCCCAGCCTCAATTTTGCTGTTTTTTTTTTAAACAGAGTTTCACTTTGTTGCCGTTGGTAGATTGCTATGGCATCACAGCTCACAGCAGCCTCAAACTCCTGGGCTCAAGCAATCCTCTTGCCTTGGCCTCCTGAGTATCTGTGACTACAGGCACCTGCCACAACACTCAGCTAGTTTTATATATTTATTTATTTGAGACAGAGTCTCAAGCTGTCACCCTAGATAGAGTGCTATGGCATCACAGCTCACAGCAACCTCCAACTCTTGGGCTTAAGCAATTCTCTTGCCTCAGCCTCCTAAGTAGCTGGGACTACAGGTGCCCACCACAACACACAGCCATTTTTTTTTTGGTTGCAGTTGTCATTGCTGTTTTAGCTGGCCCAGGCTGGGTTCAAACCCTCCAGCCTCCATGTATGTGGCCAGTGCCCTACCCACTGAGGTATGGGTGCTGCACTGGCTAGTTTTATAGAGGGGGTCTCGCTCTTGCTCAGGGAGGTCTCAAACTCCTGAGCTTAAGCAGTCTACCCGCCTTGGCCTCCCAGAGTGCTAGGATTTTATAGACATGAGCCACCATGCCTGGCCATGCTGGTTTATTTTAGAAGTGGGGCAAATATGGCTGTTTTTGAAACATGTCTTAGAAATTTGAAAACTAAGAAGTTGGAAGAGTTGCTATTTGAAGTTACACAAAGAATTAATAGATCCTGCAATGCTCCCAGAGCCCTTGCTTCCTCTGTAGCAGCCAGATTTGAGAACACTGATATATTACCTCCCCAAAGCGGCAGGTCGGAATTTCTTTTTCTTTTTTTTTTTTTTTTCTCTTTTTTTGAGACAGAGTCTCACTTTGCTGCCCTCCATAGAGTGCTGTGGCATTCCAGCTCACAGCAACCTCAAACTCTTGAGCTTAAGAGATTCTCTTGCCTCAGCCTCTCAGGTGGCTGAGACTACAGGCGCCTGCCACAATGCCCGGCTATTTTTTAGAAATGAGGTCTTGCTCTGGCTCAGGCTGGTCTCAAACCTGTGAGCTCAGGCAATTCACCCTCCTTGGCCTCCCAACTGCTGGGATTACAAGTGTGAGCCACTGTGCCTGGGCCCAGGGTTTCTTTTTTCTTTTCTTTATTTTATAAACTAACACAATGTGGACATATATGTATATGTGTGTATATATATATGTGTGTGTGTGTATGTGTACATATACATATTTGTTTTTTCTTGAGACAGAGTCTTACTTTGTCACCATTGGTAGAGTGATGTGGCATCATAGCTCACAGCAACCTCAAACTCTTGAATGCAAGTGATCCTCTTTCCTCAGTCTCCTGAGAAGCTGGGACTTATAGGTGCCTGCCACATCACCAGGCTATTTTTGGAGATGGGGGTCTCGTTCTAGCTCAAGTTGGTCTGGAACTCGTGAGCTCAAGTGGTCTGCTTGCCTCAGCCTCCCAGAGTGCTGGACTTATAGGCGTGAGCCACTGCACCTGGCCCCCCAAATATTTTTTTAACTTCATTTTTTCTGTTCTCTAGGGCTTGGATTTCGAGGCCAAGCAGCAGTACATCCTACATGTGGCGGTGACGAATGTGGACCCCTTTGTGGTCTCTCTAACCACCTCCACAGCCACCATCACTGTGGATGTGGTGGATGTGAATGAAGCCCCCATCTTCGTGCCTCCAGAGAAGAGAGTGGAAGTATCCGAAGACTTTGGCGTCGGCCTGGAAATCACATCCTACACAGCCCGGGACCCAGACACGTTTCTGAATCAGAAGATAACGTAAGTTGTGGGGATTCTTCAACTGACTGCAGTGGCTGGATATTTTCATGTCTATATAATTTTTTGAAAATATGTCATTATATGTATATATAAATGTATGATAGTTCACATAGGCATTTTATCATGATTTATTCTTAACTTTCTCATGTTTAGGTTTTTATTCCCTTTTATTCCTCCTCCCTACACATGTTCCCTTGCCTCCATAGACAGCAGTTAATGTGCTGCTTCTCGGCTCGGCGCCTATAGCTCAACCGGCTAAGGCGTCAGCCACGTATACCTAAGGTGGTGGGTTCGAATCCCCAGCCCGGACCCGCCAAACAACAATGACGGCTGCAACCAAAAAATAGCCGGGCGCTGTGGCGGGCACCTGTGGTCCCAGCTACTTGGGAGGCAGAGGCAGGAGACTCGCTTGAGCCCAGGAGTTGGAGGTTGCTGTGAGCTGTAATGCCATGGCACTCTACCCAGGGGGACAGCTTGAGGCTCTGTCTCAAAAAAAAAAAAAAAAAAATGTGCTGCTCCTCCTCTCACAGTGTAGCAAGCAGGAATGTGATTTCGGTTTATATATATGGTCTTGTAGGTAGCTTACGGATTCTTCTCTTTTTAAACCCGAAGCCACCTCTATAATATACATCACATTCACAGATGCTGAAAGCCCACATACAAACCAACCAACCAACCACAATGCTTGTTTTAGGATACTGTAATTTTGTACATGTGGTCCATGTACTGCTCATAATCCAGGGGCTACTTCTAGGTAGTCCAAAGTATGAGGCCCAGTAATCAAAGTTTAAAGGAATAGTAGTGAAAAGACAGTAATGCAGGATTTTGTTCAGTGACAAAGCCGTGTTTCCATGCTGGGTTGTTAGCTTATAGTAGCGAAATAGGTAGTTCGGAGCATCTCCAGGGACCAGGTCTTAAAAGTATTTATTCCTGGGGGAAAAGGCCACTTTATGTAATTCATCACTTCACTTTGCTCTTCTAATGAAATGAGGTCGAGCCCACAGGTTTCTAGAGACCCTTCCTTTGATTTCTTAGCTTCCTTTTCTGAGCCTTTCTACGAAGAGATAAGGGCACAGTACATCTCTGTTAACCTCCTTGGCTCCTCCCCTTTAATGCTAATCTTGCAGCCCACCCCTAAGTCAACATATCAACCTAAATTTCCAAATGTTCAAAGCCGGAGATGAGGTTGTGTAGTGCCACCATTTGAAAACGTCTGTACTCTTTGGGATAGCTGGGAAGGAGTCTGATTTAGTCTGGGCATGCATGGTGGCTCACACCTGTAATCCTAGCACTCTGGGAGGTTGAGACTGGTCGACTGTTTGAGCTCAGTAGTTTTTTGAGACTAGCCTGAGTATGAGCAAGACCCCCCATCTCTACTAAAAATGAAAAACTGAGGCAAGAGGATCACTTGAGCCCAAGAGTTAGAGGTTGCTGTGAGCTAAGACTTCATAGCACTCTACTAAGGGTGACAAAATGAGACTCTATCTCAAAAATGAATGAATGAATGAATTTTAGTAACTGTTGCTTCTGGCAAGAATTACTCATACATGCTACATCCATTGGGGGAAAGTTAGTTGGTGAACAGGATATTTTTTTTTTTTTTTTTTTT